CACAAAAATGTATACGGTAACCAAAAACACACACAAAAGTGTATAATTTGAATGAAAAAAACTCAAATCAACTAAAAGTTATGTCAAGTACAAGAAAAAGAACCAATCAAAGTGTGATTCTGAAAATATTTTTACTCAATTTCGTTTGATGTAATCCGAGATATAAAAACACCAAAAAAGAAAAATTATTATAGAAACGGATAAGATATTAGAAAATATACAATCGGTAAAAAAAAAAAAAACAGTTTAAGAACAAAATGTAGCAAATCGGTGTATTTTGGTGCTCGCATATAAACTGTACATGATACAACCAATATCCCTTCTCCAGTTTGATTTTCAACTCAACTTATCATTACATTTTTTTTTGCTAAACATTTCGGTTCGGTTTTGATATGAAGGAGGTACAGTTTTGGATAATCTCAGATCCAAATCCGTCGAAGGATCGACCAGATCGGAGAATCAACATAAAGGTATTTGTCTTAGCTTCTCTGGGTTTGTTCAATTTTGGTTATAGATGATTGATTTGCATCTTATTCACTGAAAAATTAAGTTCGATTGAAACTTTTAGGGTTTTGTTTGTTGGTTTTGGGGGTTTTTAGGAATTGAAAGGAAGAATGGTTAGATTGATGGTTGAACTGTTAGATTAAACTATCAATGGAATGTTCAATTCCATCGTTGTGACAGTTATTGCAGCTTTGTGAAATAATTCTTAGTTTTTTGTTTATTGCAGTGGATATCGTTGATCAGAAGCCATGCAGAGGTCATTGTTAATGATGATATTGTATTYCCAGTTTTTCCGAAAATTTGCAAGGTAAAGGTCAAGTTTTTGGTGTCTTCATTTTTGTTACTTCTCAGTTTCATGAAGTAGTATATTATCCTTATAAAAATGCTTGTGAGCCATGTTTAGGGAAACCTTAGATTATCTGATGTCAATGCTGTTTCATTTGTGTTGTTTTCTTGAAGAAAGAATGGTTTGCTTGTGCATTTCTTTTCTAATGGATAGTTTTTTTGTCTTGATAACATGTAAATCTTCTGATGGTGAATTATATCGAGGAGTTCTAACCAATGGAGGAGAATTTTTTTTTAAAATAATTATGGAACTCTAAACTAACTTTAATATGGATTTAGTATTATAAAATTGTTAAAAATTTTTAATGGAGTTCTGGCTAATGTACATGCTCTTATTAGTTATGCTAAACTACCCCACGAATGTCGTTTAGTATTTCAATTCTCTTTTCGATTGGTTATATATTTGTCTTTACTTGACTCCGTTACCATGTGACATCACTCGTTACTTATCGAAAACTAAATGATTCCCGCGTTTAATTTATAATTGAAATATTATTTTTTTTTTTGTTTTAACTCGTTAATTTAAATTTAAAAAATATTATTTCAATTTTATTTACAATTTAATTAACAAAAAAACGAAATTGGTTATTAAATCCAATAATATATCGTAAAATAAAGTAAGATTTTGTCGTTTCTAAAATTTTTTATATTTCTATTGATGTTGTAGTGTCGACTTTGTCGTTGACACATTGCACCAAACTACTATTATTGTGTGTAAATGCTTTTAAAAGTTTGAAAATTTGACAAAACAAAACACGACATATTGTGATCAATTGTGTTCAATATTCATTTGGTTAACCCGTGTGAATTATTCTACTTTTAAATAACAATATCTAAAATGAAAATATCTTCTATAGATAATAT